CTTATTTTTATATGTATACCACCATTTAGTAATTGATGGTGTATTTTTATTACTTGTGTTGCATTCAGCAGCGTTATCATTGTGTTGTTGAATATATTGTTTTTGTTTGATGTATGCATTTTATTTGTCCACTCATAACAAATTTCCTGATATAACAATAACTCTGAATATTTGCTTTTTACCTAATTATTACTATACCTTTGACCAGGAGAAAGATAAGGCTGATTAAGTTTCATACTATGTTTTCTGTATTTATATTTAGTTTAAAAATAAAACTTGAGTATGATTTGAATGGAGTTTATTAAGTAAAGATTTATAAAACATTTTATATAATTATTTTTCTATTTTGTAAAAGTATGACCCTTCAACATAAAATGTTTTACTACTAATAACTCTTTTTGTTGCACTTTAATACAATAGTCGAACTGATAATTGTAAAAATCCGACATTGTATTTATACAAAATTATTTTAAGACCAGAAGTTTCATAAAAATTTAAACAGATGATTCAATATTATTTGGATGACATATATGACTTTTAAATTTTGACCGTTCGAATTCTAGTATCGACCTCTTATTTTTCTGTTTGTTTTACATCTTTTATTGAAATATACTCTTTTAATTTTTTACTTTTTATTTATGTATGCATTTTGAATAGAATAAATTGATGACTAGAAACGAATTGATCGAGAGTAGTGAATCGATTTGCAGAACCGCTATTTCGTGACGCTATCCGTGACTAATTGTTTTTCTACTGTAAAAACTTCGTTTTCAAAAAAATTTAAATTTTATGTAAACTATAATACATTATCATCAACAAATTTAATTCGTATCGTTAGCCACCAATAATAATTTCTATTTCATTAATACCACACATTTGAAATAACCTACCCATCCTTTATACAACTGACCACGTGGTGAACAGGCAGGAGCTGCTTGACTTTCGGAATAGTGAATTCAATCAATAGAGACACGTAAGAAATGTGTTTGTTGTCGATCACTTGCCGCTAACAATAAAATATTATATTTTTGCTTATGATATTAAAAGAAACATATTTAGAGTTCTAGTTTGTAAGATACGTTTTCATTGATATTAAAATAATTAATTAATTTCAATGAATATTTTATAGCATCGACACGTACTTTCTAAGATATATTAGCAATTTATGCGGTTAAAATGTTACAACTTAATATATGTTTATTAGCGCTAATAATTTTTTGAAATGAATATTTCTTATTGCTCGGTATGCCTGTATGTTTTTGCAAGGTCCAAATCAATCTCACGCGTGCCCGAGATGCTTACAGTATAATATACATAAGTAATACACTTATTACTTCCTCATCGACTAGTAAATATAAAGAAGTTTGATTTGATGTGTCATATGCTAGGATTCGGCTATTTGTTTATTTTGTACTCAGTATCTATGATATCTCGTATGTCGCTATACATTCATTATTAATAAAGATACTGTGTAGTGCCCTTTTGGTAGTCCCCTTGTTTGTTATTTCTACCCCAATATAGTCATTATATACTTCCCTTTCATTTACTATGTCGCATATTGGGATTCGATCAGTTGTTTATTTTGTATTCGACCAGAGGCCTTCTTTTTAAGTCAATAAATCAAAATTTGTCTTAAAATAAATCTATTTTTGTAGGTAGTGCTCTACGATATCTCGTATGTCGCTATACGTTCATTAATACCGAAATGCTTTGTAGTGCCCTTTTGGTGGTAGCCTGGTTTGTTCTTTCTACAGTTCATCCGATTTCAACATGAGTTGTCGGTACACGCGGTCGGTAGGTGTGGCGATGTCGTCATAGCAGTCCCGAGTTTTGTCATTGGTTAGAAATTAAGTGTTCACGTTTTTCAATTTTAACAGTGACGCACCGACTTACTGTGTTTCTTAGTTACGTTTCGTTTTATTCGTATATTAATAGCGTTATATACTTCGTGTATTGAAACTGTGTGGATAAATATTGTTTATAGTGTTAATTTAAACTGTGTGGATAAATTTATTTATAGTGTTAATTTAGACTTAAAACTGTGGTATTGTACCTGTATGTTCATTCTATTTTCAGCTTAATTCTGCAAGTAAGTATGCTTTTGTTCATTTATTTTAATAAATATAAGTTTACTATTTTATTTGGGAATAAAGCCACAATTCAAGTTGAAAATTAAATTTATTTGACGTTTTGACTTCCACTTCGGAAATCAAACATTAATGTTTTGTATTTAGATGTAAATTAAATTTCAAGCTTAAATTGTGGCTTTTTCCCAAACAAAAGAGTCAATGACATTAGATGCCACAAGGAAAATAGCTTCAGAACAACAATAATAATAAATATAAGGAATAAATGTCTTCTTCTTATAGTGCTTGTCCGTTTCGGATGTTTACCACCATCATGGCAATCTGTACATTGCTTTTTTGTTTTCGTTGTTTTGTTGAACCACGCACGTATTCTTCAATCAGGAAATCCTTCGCCTTGCTTGGCCCCGTTTTCCTTCTACTTTTTCCTGTAAAATTAGTTTCAGCAATCCATATCATTCGTTGTTCCTCATGAAGTGATAACCGAAATAACCTATTTAGGTTTTGAAATCCTGTTCTGATTAGTAACGTGGTCGGTATATCTTAAGAATTTGATGATAGAGCCACATTTCGAAAGCCTCCATTTTCTTACAGGTCATGTCTTGAGAGTCCACGACTCAACTCCATACAACAGTATAGGAAAGATATAATATCGTAGTAACCTGATTTTTATGGGTATTGATAAATCATGACATTGAAATATCTTAGCCATTTTTTGAAATGCCCAAGAATGACATTAGGATATGGAGGGAATTTTTGCAAAACATTAGGCAGTTGAGGAACGAAAAGAGGAAACTATATTATTTGGACGCGCATATGAATATATTATAATTCCTATCACGCGCATAAGCGTATTTATGACTTTATCTTGGGACTTGGGATAATGCAGGTCATACTCGTTCAAATGTATGGTTGTGACACTTCAGTGGTTTTATCAAGACAAGCGTTTTTGGAAGGACTGTCTGTGGGTCTCAAAATCCTTCAGGTATTCATATGTTTATTTCAATACAGTTATAATAAGTTATTTTTTTCAGGAAAAGGTAAACGTCTTAGTGTGTGTGGCATTGGAAGATAAGACGGATTTTTGCCTGGAACGTTGGGGACGTTTGAATAAAACAAAGTGTTTACTATCACGAAGAAATGGACGAGCGATGGTTTCAAAAAACGATATTATACTTATACACAACCACATAAAAATGAGTAACAATACTTAGTGTGTAATTAATAATCTTCGGTCTTTGTCGAGAAATAACTTAAAGTCCGAACTTAAATACTTGTGAAAACCGTATCTGAAAATTATTATATTGATGTCCTGTCATACTTTCTACATGTCCTTATAATAAAATTTCTTACAGAAGAATGTATGTAAATTCAATTTTGAAATTAGTATTACAATACTAATTATTATATTGTAAAATATTAAATAACTGTTTAGTTAGTTGGTCATTTAGTTAGTTAGTTCAATTTTTTTTTTCGAAATATACAAAATTATATTTGTATTTTATAAAAAGTTGTTTACTATTAACTATCAACTGTTTAAATTCGAAAATTGTTTACTGTAAATTACTATTAATTATTAAAACAACATTTATTATACATAACTCCCAAAAAATGTACTATGAAATGTAAGGATTAAACATAAATTAGGCTTTAATTAAAATATGAACGCTTTGGCTTATTGCAACTCTGTACAACAGATCTTCAAATTCCTATCACGTGCATAAGCGTGTTTATGACTGTATCTTAATATGTTCGTTATATGCTCGTCTTTCATTTCCTATATCACATGTTAAGATTGGATTGTTTGTTTATATTCTTTAAAAGTCAATAAATCAAAATTTTAGTTATATTCTTAGTGCCGTATAATATCTCGTATCTAACTACATATACGAATTCCATGGGTACAAAGAGTTACTAATGTTGAGATACTTCGTCGCATGTGTAAACAAAAAGAATTACTAAGAATAATCAAAGAGAGGAATATGCAATACTTGGGTCATGTGTTGAGAGGCGAAAGATATGAATTACCTCAAGTTACACTGGAAGGAAAAGTACAGGGCAAAACATCAGTAGGAAAACTCCAGAACTCGTGGCTGAAAGACCTGAGGAGATGGTTCGACCGCTCATCCGCAGAAATCTTTCGCGCAGCAGTTTCCAAAACTACAATTGCCATTTGGATCGCCAACCTTCGAAAGAAGAAACAAGGAGAAGAACTATACGTTCATTAATAATAAAGATACTGTGTAGTGTCCGTTTGGTAGTCGCTTTATTTGTTTATTCTATCTTATTATATTCGTTTTATCTCTCCCTTTCATTTAACGCATCACACTCTCCAATCGGACCAATAATAACGGATATATGATGTAATGCCGTTTTGGCAATGCAGCCATATCCCCTCTCCTCTCCCATGATTATCATACGTCACGATCCGACTAACTATTCTACCTCCACCACAAAGCGCTCAAAAGATAAATAATGCTTAATAAAAATCTTACCTTACAATTACAGTAACCTATAAATAATTATTACTGTTAATGTTATTACTATTATTAATTAAACCTATCGTTTCAAGAACAAAATATGATTGAAATGTCAGATGTTGATAGTTAGATTTCTGTCCTAGGTGGCGTAGTTACGCTACCGGACAAACAGTGTGACTTTTCTTAGCCTTTTATATATTATTTTCGACCGTGCTGTGTTAAATATTGTTTTATAGTATCAGCAATCGGTCTGTAAAGATTAAAATCTATTTGTTTTATGTCTCAATATTTCGTCACGTTAAAACACCTGTTTTAACTGAATAATTACTAGTCCCCCATTTTTTAAAAATATTCTATATTTTTGAAGTGTACTGCATTCTATGTTATTTCGGTTGTTCAACGATGTATATCTAACGTCATGTTTTTTTTTTTTCAGTGTTATGAGGTAAAGACAGATTTCACTTCCAAAAGTTTGTTAAAAATGGATAGAGCAGCTACTTGTTTATTTGGAATTAGAAATTATGGCGTTGACATTAATGGATACGTTAGGCATCCCGTACTAGGTATGTGACAGGGATTTGATTCAAGCAGGTACATAATATATAATTCATAAAAAAGAATTTTGATAAAAAACACAATAAAATCAACGTCTAATTTTCTTTACACAAAAAATATTTTTATACAGTTTTTTTCATGACGTAACTTATGTTCCTTAAGAGATATTGGTATCCTGAAACACATATAACATGCAGCTATTTTTATCTATTAATAAATACCCTTTGACACGCTTGACTAGAACGAATTATGAAGTAATAACACGAGCTAGCATTTAAAAGCATATAACAAAGCATGCTTTAGAGCTGTAAAAGAGTTAATTTCAGAATAACTGGTATTAAGCTTGATTAAATAACGATGGTTAAGTGTGAAATAGATACGAGGACCAATACATTTATTATAACAAAGGAAACGTAAATTTTTCTTGATAAAAAACTGTTTGTTCTTGATACGTCGTCTACAACTGCGCGGACATTATTAAAGACGATGCGGGAACGGATGTAGAGGTGACCTCGTATTGTTCCTCCAACCACTGAAGATCTTCCTCGAATATCTGCACTATATTTAGAAGTAGCAAAGAGTGGTATTACACAAAAAGTTACCAATACATGGACATTTGAAAAACTACTATTTCGGTCGGATTCTTATTCCCAAAGGATGTAGCTATATGTGACGTCATCTGGCACCACCCCATCCCCAAATAGCCTTACCAAACAAATGGTACAGCTATTCCAAAACCAAACCAAACAGTTTCGTGACACATTTGGCTGCGTTTAGGTGTGAGATATTATTTACTACCCTTTTTTGTACGATTTTAGATTTTTTATTTTAAGTAAATTTTGTGAAAGGGGAAGAACAAATTCATAAATCAGCTTTTACTACTCACAGTATTTTCTTTTTTATTTTATTTTGTGAAAACTTTGAAAATTGTTTATGATAATAGATACTCAAATCTTTATTACGAAATAACTCTTATGCAGACTCGATGAGTAGAGGGTAACTAAAAACATTTGTTTATATTGACAATTGTACAAAAAATTGGATTAATTTTGATTGAAGTTCTAGAAGGGTAAGGTTTTAAAAAATAGTTCAATATTAAGTACTTACCTTCCTCTGAAATATACACACAACGCAAAAGTCTAAGGATATTTTAATAATTTGACAATACCAATGACAGAAATTTCATGACCATATAAATTTGCTTGTACTATAATTGTTGATACAGAACTTCTTCACTTCTTATCAAAAAAAATTTAAAACTGTACACACGATACGTGTTTTAGAATGTTTTTTATAAGGGACAAAAAAATCGACATTTTTATGTTTTGTTTATTTTTAATTTTAGTCACTTTATACCATTCTTGGTTAAAAAGAAAGTTAAAGATATTGTATTTTACCATGCAACGACAACATTTAACGTTGGACGAGATGAATAGAGCCGTGGGCCTCCTTCAAGCTGGTATGCGACAAAATCAAGTTGCTGACCAGCTGGGTGTCTCGCAAAGCGTCGTAAGTCGTTTGTGGCGTCGGTTTAAAGACACTGGGAGTCCAGACGAGCAATATCCAGGACGTGGTCACTCTACAACCGTCGCTCAAGACCGATATTTAATTTTAAATGCCAGAAGGCAGCCAACAATCACAGCACCCGAGCTGGTTAATGAATTACAACTTGCACATAATGTAACAATTAGCAGCAGTACTGTGAGAAATCGTCTCCATGAAGCCAATCTTCGTAGTCGGCGACCACTGAGATGTCCACCTCTATCTAGAGGCAATCGCGCTGCAAGATTAACCTGGTGTCAAGAGTTTCTGAATTTGACTGACCATGACTGGGCCACAGTTTTGTTTAGTGACGAGTCTAGGTATGGATTTCGTCCAGATTGTCGTCGGACAAGAGTTTGGAGACGACCCGGAAATGGAGAACGATTACGACATCTTCAAGAAGTGTATGCATACAGAGGTGGTACATTAATGGTATGGGGCGGAATCATGATTAACGGAAGAACTGACCTCATTTTCCCACGTGGCTTTCTCACAAGTCAGCAATATTTGAACACTGTTCTTGAACCTGTTGTGCGCCCCTTTGCTGCTGCTGTTGGAGAAAATTTTTACTTTATACATGATAACGCTCGACCACACGTTGCGCATATTGTAACAAACTGGTTGGATAACGAGGGTATTGATGTATTGCCGTGGCCAGCACAATCACCGGACTTGAATCCCATTGAGCATGTATGGGACATGCTCCAACGAAGAGTTACTCCACATATGGGTAATATCTACAATGAGTTTCAATTAAAAGAGCTTCTGAGAGAACAATGGGCACAACTACCTCAAGCAGACATTAACAATGTGATTCGGAACATGAGCAGTAGATGTAGAGCTGTGATAAACCAACGTAGTGGCCATACTTTATTTTAAGTTTATATTTCGTATTTTTGACATTTTATGGTGGTATGTGTGCGTGATTTGCAATTTTTTTTGTTCCAATTTTCTGTTTTTTTGCAATTTATGGTTTTTGACATAATAAACAACAATTTAAACTACAAATTTTGTATTACTTTTTTTAAGTTTATTACAGATAAAGAAAATACGTCTATTTATAAAAATATCCCTAGACTTTTGCGTTGTGTGTACATAACTGACCCTACAAATAAAAAATAGCAAGGTACAAAGAAGTGTAGTAAAATCTCACATCTAAACGGATCCAAAACGTGTTACGAAGTGGGTGCTGTAAAATTTGTTTGGTAAGGCTATTTGGTGTGGAGGTAGTGCCACATGACGTCACATACAACTACCTGGGCCCTGATTCTATTTCATTTCGATGTCGAAATTTAAAAGCGACTACGCCATGACAGTCGCAATTGCTAGCGATTCTCATTCATTTCGATTTTAGTTAAAAGTGGGGACATTTACTTTATCATTTTGACACTGCTCAGAATTTGGGTTGGCCATCTTGTTTATTGGCTGCACGCTTGTTAAATGTTTGTTTTGTTTACATTTTACGATTTTTGTTTCTTGTTTGAGTTGTTAAATTTTTAGTGGCCATCCTCAATGATTATATTTTGAATTTAAAGAAAATGGATGGATGCTGTTAGTGATGGTGGCACTAAATTGTCTGTTGACCAAAAAGAAATTATGATGGCTTTTGACTTAGTGGTTATATTATATTTTTAAATTTACTGCAGCTTAGTATTGGTATTACTAAAAACAATACATTACCGCTCTAAAAATTCTTGATGAGTTTAAAGATTATTTTATATCTCCAAATAAGAGTATAGAATTAAAATAAATTATTACAACCAAATTATTTATTATTTCTATCTTCCATTACAACCCTTCAAAAATTGTGGTTTCCAATTTAGTTTTAATATTGGGACATTTTATTTCTTTAATTTTTACACCACAGTATATTTTAAAAAATAATCAGTAGCATCTGGCTTGGGGCCCCCAGGTACCGCAGTTCTATTTTTATAGGTGTTAAAATTTCGACCAATTATGTGCCGAATCACATACAATTTCTGATAAAACGATTTCGACTCGAAATTAAATTTCAACCACTTTCTTGAAGTTGAAATTAATTTCGATAAATCGAAATTTAGTGACGTCCTTTGGTTAGTTCAGCTGAAATCCACTAGGCTCGCAAAGTCGCATTTCGACGTCGCCATATTGATTTCAACATGTTTTCAGTCGAAATCTCAATTAGAATCAGGGCCCTGGTTTAGAGACACGGATCGGCATCGGCCCAAAGTGTGAGTTTTTGAAATTTCTATTTTTGGCCAGATTTTTCCGTATATACGACTCTATGAGTCGGGTGCATCCCGGAATCTGTCCGTTAATCAAAATCTGTGTTGAAATGTTCGGTGCGTCTAGGGAGTATTTTGTATATTGCAATATTAAATGTCGCATTCTGTTTAGAGCCAGACCCTTTTTTTATGTGTGTCTTTGAATTTTGATAACTTCGCTGGGCATTTGTAGATAGTAGTCGGATGTTATATTAAGCACCTGTGTTTTTACCATCGAGCAAAAATACAAAAGAGGGAATCTAATCGTTATGAAAAGGAGACCAAAAAAGTGGCCTCTGATGGCAGACATATCCGGAAATGCAAATTCGCTAAATTTAAATTTTCCGACACTTATTATATTAACAATAGCTGTAAAATATTTTTCAGACGAGAAAGTTTTAATTAAATATTAACGATAATAGTCTAAAAAGTGACACTATTCGTAAAAACACTTCAATATAAATAAAATTTGATGTGACAGTTGGGACAAACAATAACATAACCAAACTAAATTTGATTTCTTAAACAAGGAAAGAGACTGTCTTTCCTTGGATTTATTAAACAAGGAAAGACTCTCTTTCCTTGTTTAATTTGGCCTCTCAAGATGGCACTTCCTGTCTAACAATATTTTTGCCCCCACTGCCTTTACATTCCCTCTTTTGTCTTTTTGCTCGATGGGTAAAGGGTAAAGGCATAGAATAATAAACAATCAGAATACCCACTCTCCATGGAAAATTAAGTACGCGCATCTCGTACGCGCAGACGTTCCGCCATGTTTTAAAGGGAACCAGTGTTGTTTATGTGGTGTGCATAGAAAAATTAACCCGGTTTAATTGACTTACGGCAATCATAGACATACTATACAATTATATTAACATTGTTAAATATAATTAAACATAAATATAAACAATTATATAACCTCACAAATCATATGTTTGTGTTATGTGTTTCCTTCTAAAACATGGCGCGCGTGCTGAAAAACTTCAAAGGCGACATCTGAGAGTGGGCATTCTGATTGTTTATTGCATTGTGTGGTAAAATTAACCTTTATCCATTAAATATTTTCCCATAAACTTCTTCTTTTTGTCAATGACCTCTTGCGTAAGTAGTCATCCAGTCGCAGGAACTTATATCTTAAATATTATAATTAAAATGAATAAAACAAAAAGCCGTAATTACTTTTACTATTAATTCTGTGTATTCTTTCAGTAATCAGTTTACAA